TTCCTCTTTAGACCTGAGCACTGAGAACATTAGATTATTCTTAGATTTTCTCTTAGGTTTATTGAGCCTGATTGTTCCTTCGTGGGCTCAAATCATGCTGCTGTCTCCAAGAACAGCCCTGGGGAGGGGGCAAGTGGGAGGATGTGACAGCTCAGAACCACTCCAACAATTGAGGCGTGGTCAGAGATCAGCAGGAAACTTGGTTCCTACCCCAGAATTGGTTTCTCACATAAAATCAGGTGACAGAACAGCGAGGGTAGTCATAAAGATAGAAAGGGAAGGGAGGCTTGTTTTGCAAGGGACAATCCCACAGCCTTGCCACGGAGCCTCATGTCTGTCTCTGCACCTGGCTGAGTCACCCAATGCCTTGTAGACCCCTCCCACGGCAGTGACAGATGCATGAGGCAGAGGCAGGGGTGGCCAGTGGTCCAGAACAGAGTTCAAGGGATGCAACTGCCTATGAGGCCATCACAGGGATGGGGGATGGCACATTTCAAAGAAGTTTAAGACAGAGACCAACATTTATCAAATGCCTATGATGCGACAGGCATGCTCTATCATTTTTCATTTTAATCCTGACAGTAACCTTATGACATTATCTCCTTTTTAGAAACAGGAAAACAGATGATCTTGCATCTGGCAAGCCACTTAGCCTGGACGCAATGCCCTGTTTCCGACACCCACATGCCCCTAAGGCGAATCCCGGCACTAGCTCCTCCTAGGACAAGCAGGAGGGACAAGTAGTTCCTCCTAGGACAAGCAGGAGGGACAAGTAACCTTTACGGATCAGCTGTCATGCGCCAGGCATTGCGCTATGTGTCTGACACATGTTACCTACTTTAGACTTCCCCAGCACCCTGAATCATTGGTCCTGTGTTCCCATTTTACAGGGTAGGAACATAAAGTCCAATGTTATAAATGTGTACAGGCAGGGGATTTGAACCCAGGCTTACTTATTCCAAAGCCAGATCTTTCTGTGGCATCAACAGTTTCCTGATCTATTTTGGGAGTGGAGACGTAAGCATCAAAGGTCAGGAAGAGGGCTGGGCAGAGCAGGCCAAGAGCTGGGTGAGTTTGGACAGTGTGTGGAAACAGGAGAGCCCTGAGGCCTGGGGTGACTGTGCACTTGTCACAGCTGTCTTGCTCTTTGTGGTCTCTTCCCTGCCGGTGTCTCCCAGGGGTTAAGAAAGGCTTGAGCCGCTTTCATTTTTTCCCCAGAACAAGGTATAAGTGTGAATCTGAGGTCCCAGCCCAATGTTTGTGGGCCCACAGTGGGCCCTCTTACTGCCGCTCCTCCTGCCTGCACCCAAACTTGTGGGACCCCATGTAGCAAAAGCTCCTTTCAGCACGAGCAAGGCCTCCCTTCTCAGGAGGTTGTCAATACAGAGATCAGGGCCAGAGTCTGCTCTTTAATTCGTATCCCCGAAGACCCTTTACATCACTTGCACCCAGGGAAGGATCTATAATTATCTTCTGACTAACTAAAAAACCACATTAACCTTTTAAAACAAAATCCCCAGGGTTTTAGGAAAAGTGTAACCACTGAGGTCAATTTCATGGGCTTACATTGGGATTTGTGAACAACATTTTAAGTGTCTACAAAGCATTAAGTAGTTAGTGACATCTAACAAAATATTAACAGTAGACTTTAAATATATGACCATTTTCTTTTTTATTTTATCATTATTATTATAATTTTTTGAGACGTAGTCTTGCTGTGTCCCCCAGGCTGGAGTATAGTGGTGCGATCTCAACTCACTGCGACCTCCGCCTCCCGGGTTCAAAACATTCTCCTGCCTCAGCCTCCTGAGTAGCTGGGACTACAGGCGCCGCCACCATGCCTAGCTAATTTTTTGTATTTTTAGTAGAGACGAGGTTTCACCATGTGGGCCAGGCTGGTCTCAAACTCCTGATCTCAAGTGATCCTCCCACGCCGGCCTCCCAAAGTGCTGGAATAACAAGCATGAGCCACTGCGCCCGACCAAAATATGACCATTTTCTAAAGTCTCTTTCTTTTAAAATGTGGTGTCATGAAACAGTATTTCCTGCCTACAACTTACAGTCATGTCCTCACTCCAGAACGCACCCTGCTTTCCTCTGAAGAAGAAAAAGGAGATAAAAAGGGAAATCATGTACTATTGGGAAATTGCTGGCTGAAAACTTCTCCTAACTCAATATTTCGTCCTCCTAGCTTAGTTCTGTGAAAAAGCTCAGTGGTCAGATCATTACACATGAACTCAGAAATGGGGGGAGAACTCAGAACTCAGAAATGAGGGGAGAGAGACACAGCAACACAGAGAAAATCTAAGATCATAAAATAAGCTATTCTAGCCAAGTGTTTCTTTCTAGGTGAATATTGCCTATAGAAAAATGCTTTTAAACATAATTTTTTGAAAAAAACGCTACTGGGAAGCCGCTGACTTAAAGCCGCTGAATTTAATGCTGTTTTTAGTGTTTCATGTCCATTACATTTTCAACAGGTGACCAGGAAAGCAGTGCTGGTGCTGGTGTGATTTCTCGACTTTACAACAGGTACATACAGGGCATGCAATGAGAGTCTGAAAACATGTGTCCCCAGCGATCATTTCTTAGGAGACTGTTGAGGCTGTTTGGTAACTCTCAGTGGCAGCCATAGGCATTTTCACAATGTTGCTTTCCTGCCTTCAATTGTAGTTCCTCTTTCAGCTGCAGAACAGCTAACACTCCTGCAGAAATGACCTTCTGCCATGTTCTGGAGTCTTCAGCTCCAAATGGGATTGGTCAGGGCCAGTACGTGACACCCTGCCTCGGGGCCGGAAAGCCTTTGTCAGTTACTTCTCAGTGGTGTCAGATTTCTATTAACTCAAGAACACACCCAGAAACCTGAAGAAACTTCTCTTGCAGAGTGATACCGACTCTCCCTCCTGCAGCTTGTGCACTGGCCCAGGCAGAAAGGAAGGAAGTCACAACTTAAAAATAAAATTCACACATAAGCTTTCGGCCAACATTTACATCTTAATAACCTGAAGTCCCATGGGGTCCCACGCTGAGCTTTGTCCATGACATTCACAGTGTTCACACACCTCAGACCATCTCCCCTGGGATCTTCGTGGGAAGGCCGCCCCAGCAAAGCCAGCAGTGCTGCCCTTTGCTGAGAAAAGTTCCCACCGTGGCCGGGCTGGAGCCCCACGCACGTACTCTTATGTGCTGCTGCTGTGTCCATCTGCCTTGCAATAAATTCCCCAGGCTTTATCAAATGGCCTTGGTTTTAGAATTTGCCCTTCGGGACACTAGTGGTAAAGGAAATAGCTTGTCATTAGATTAAAAAAATTGTCATCAAAGTCCCCGCTCTTCTGCACAATTAACAAAGCCAAGGCCTCCTCCCCTGGTGCCTGCCTCACCTGACAGAGCTGTGTCCGGCAAAGTCTGGACGCACCTGGGACCCAGAGCAGCCAGGGTGAGGCTTTCAGGCCCCCTCAGTGAGAGGAAAGTGCGTTTGAACACCTGGAGACAGATGCATGTCTCTGGACTGCCCTTCAGTAAAACATTGCTTCCAACTCCTGATGTGTATCTTTATTTTCATTTTTTAGATTATTTCTTGGTAATAACCAGGACATAACTCATGGCTGACTCCTTTTCTAATTCTCCAACTTGCCTCAGTGCCTCCCAAAGCCTAGTCCCCGACGGTAAGGCCCTGTGTCCCCTCAGTTAGGGTGAGGCCCATGGCAGTCGCCTGGGTCTATTAAGAAACCTTTATTTGTAGCCCTGCGCTTCATTAGATAAACTGGTTTTCTGCGTGTAGACTGCAAGTAATCACTGCATACAAACAAAATGAACGCTGCCGCCTAGCACTAGATAAGTAACACTTCAAAAACTATTACTCTAGGCCTCTTCATAGACTCAGTCCCTTCCCAGCCACCTCCCCACCCCACCCCCTGGCTAAAGCGAATGTGTATTTATTTGCTGTCTGAAATTCTTTCTCTCCTGGTTTCACAATCCTCCCTGCCTCAGTGTCAGAAGTCATAGAGTTGCACAGACGAGCTTATCTTTAGGCAGCAGTTTCTAAAACAAATGTAAATCCTTTGCTTTTCTCTCCCCTGCCCACCCCTGACACTGTACTGCATCGCGTAAGCTTCCAAGCTTGCTTTTAGAACTCCGTCCTTGAGCACATGGGACATGGAAAAATACCGCCTGATAGGGTGGCTAATCTAGTGGGATGATTGGAGATCAGTGGATTAGGAAGATTGTGGCGTCAACTGAAGATCAAGGTCCACTGTGCTTCATGCCACTCCTTTAGAACACAAAAGCCAATATCATTCTTGCCACACCAGCTTAAAACCTGATACCTTGGAAGCCGGTTAGGCGAGGCAGCACTTGCTGAACCCAGGGCAAGCAAATAGTCCCACCTGCAAGCCTGCGTGGCAGAGCAGGGTTGAAAGTGGGGCCAGAGAAAGTCACCTCAACCATTCTGTACTCTTCTTGCCTTTAACAAGTCCCCATTTTCACCAAGTTTCATCCCTCCTCTTTTTAAAGCCTCCCGAAGGACCCATAATTGCCCTTGATAGAGCTCCTTCAAGTGTAATTTGAATGTAATTCACTTACACAGTCAATCTGATCAGCCCTTACTAATCCATCGCCTGTAACTCATTTTTCATTATTATTTCTTGAATGAGTGATTTAAAAAATTGCATATGCATCTCGTTCCCAAGTCTCTTTCTGAGCCTCTTTGTGATGGGGATGGAGTAAGCACCAGCCTGTATTTCCTTCCTAGTTCCCCTTCCTGAGGGGCTTCCCCCTTGGGGAGATTTTGGTGAATGCTGAAGATACTTTCTTGGGCAGAAAGGAAGGGGCTTCCCATCCTCTGTGGAAGAACCACATTGACAAGCCCCCCAGCACCCCACCTTCTTATTCCCAGTTGTGTGACCTCAGTTTCCCTGACCCCGTCTCTGTGGCTCTCCTCGCAGCCCTCTTGAGGACTAGTTTCTCCAGCCCGTGGCTGCTCTGCCAGGCACAGTCTGGGCCTAGACATCCGCAGTCACCAGGTTAGCTTCCGAGGAGCAGCGGCAGCAGGAGGAAGTCTGAAGCTCTGGTGAATGTCCTCCTTTTGGAGCAGGGCCTAAGGCCAACCTGAGTCCAGGAGGAAGAGACGAAGCAGGACAGGTGCAGTGGAGGGTGAGGATGGGGGACACAGAGGCGCCTTCCTGCCGAAGTGTACAGTGAGGGGGCGTGGGGACCACACTTGGGGTTCTGCAGCGGCAGCTGGAGAAGAGGATGACCTCGAACTGCAGAGGATGCTCTGGAAGGCAGAAACGGGAAAGAGACTCAGAGAGAAACAGGAGGAGAGACAGTAGGGAAAAGCAGGGGGAAAGGGTGAGGGGAGAGAAAAGAATTACCTGCACAAGACGGCCACTTGGATGGAGGATGAGGACTAGAGAGCCTGGAAGGCAAGAAATAGGTCTAAATTCTTGGCACACATTCATACACAGGAGGCCCGGATATCTGTGGGTGCTGGGGGGTGTGTGCACCAAAGGCCCACCTAGCCTATAGTTGCTATGTCGATGAGGCCTTTTCCCTCTCAATGTCCTGTGATAGCCAGAAGCGTTATAACTGCTTAAAGGAAGGTGGCTAGAAAAGTTGAGAAAGTACATATTCTCTAGAGTGCTCTGCTATATTTTTCTACATTTTTATTTCCTCCAAGAGTGACAATCCCTCAAAAGCCCAGGAGCCTGCTTTGAAGGGGAAATTAGGGGCCATGTGACTTGAAGGCCAAGAGAGGAAGCTGCAGTATCTCTAGGTGTGAGCGTAGGGCTGGCCCAGCCTCCTGGAGAGGGGCTTCTCCAGGCCCAAGCCCAGGACCACGAGAACAGCAGCTGCGGGTGTGGGAGAGCAGCTGCTCTGGCCAATAGAACCACAACAACTGGGGTGTCTGAGCCAAACACAGCCCACCAGGGACACCCCATTGTTGGATCAGGCACCATATTTTTCTCCTCCTACCTGGAAAGTGATGCTGTAAGCTGCCATCTGACTTATTCTCCAGGTTCAGCTCAAGCCCACCTCCAGCAAGAGGCCTCTCCCACCCGCTCCCACCCTTATTTGAACCAACAGCCCTCGTAGCATCTACCGATTACAGTTTGCTATTCATCGGTTTTCCCAAGCAGATTGATATTTTGATGCCATGAGCAATAGGGTTTTCAGAATTAAATAGAAAACTTTAGCACTCTATGAAAACTTTAAGAAAAAATTGGACTACTGGCAGAAGTATCTTCCATTAATGCAAGTAGGAGCCAGCTTTATAATTTTTAGTTGGACCTTTTTTTTTAAATCTGGGGAAGTTGTAAGTGAAGATGAAGAATCTGCAAAGACATATCCCCCAGTGTTTAAAAAGAAATGCTTGGGCAAACAGGCTACCTTCAGGTTGTATTTTTTATTTTAATGAAGCAGGTCAGTCTCAGAAAGAAATGTCATAAAGAAAATGTGGCACATACACACCATGGAATACTATGCAGCCATAAAAAAGAATGAGATCACATCTTTTGCAGCAACATGGATGCACCTGGAGGCCATTATTCTAAGCTAATTAATTCATAAACAGAAAATCAAATACTGCATATTTTCACTTATAAGTGGGAGCTAAACATTAAGTACACATGGTCAAAAAATGGGAACGGTAGACACTGGGGAATACAAGAGGCAGGAGAAGGAGAGGGGGTTAAGGGTTAAAAACACTATCTATTGGGTACTATGCTCACTACCTGGGTGACAGATTCATTTGTACTCCAAACCTCAGCATCATGAAATTATAGCTTTGTAATAAATTTGCCCATGTACCCCCTAATTCTAAAATAAAAGTTGAAAAAAAAAAAAAAAAAAGAATGCTCCATTCTCAAGGAGGAAACCAGAAGCCCAAGGAATAAAACTGCGAAGGATGTACTGTGGGAGGGAGATGTGATGCCAGCTGATATTTCAGTTAACATCGTTACTGTTCTTGGTAACAGTAACAAGGCTCTGGTTATAAGTTCCATAGGTCTTGAATGGTCTGCCTCTACTTTTCCCATAAGCTAATTATTTTTCACCCTTCATTTTCCAGAAATGAGAGTTTTCGTGGGCGATGAGGCAGATGAACATATGAGATTGCAGTAGAAACTCCAGTATGTGGCGATTTCTGGCTCATTGACCTATGACACTTTTTTTTCGGATTCTTATCTCACTTAACTTTGCTATTTGTATTAGTTTCCAAATGCTACTATAGCAAATTTCCACAAGCTGAGTGGCTTAAAACAACCCAACTGTGTTATCCTACAGTCTGAAGGTCAGAAGTCCTTTAAAATCAGGGTGTAGACAGGGCTGTGTTCCCTCCCACCTTGGCCAGCTTCTAGAGATGCTCTCGCTCCTTGGCTCAAGGCCCCTCTCGTCTTCCAAAGACAGCCATGTCCGATCTTAACTCGCGTAACTCCAACTGTCTTGACTCTTTTTTCCACTTATCAGGACCCTAGTGATACACTGGGCCCACCTGGATAATCTAGGCCCATCTTCCCACCTCAGAGCTTTAACTTAATCTCATCTGCAAAATCCCTTTTGTCGTGTAAGTTAACATTCACAGGTTCGGGGATCAGGGCGCGGACATTTTAGGGGTGTCATTATCCTGCCTGCCATGCTGTGGCTATTCACCTTTCTATGTGTTCATGCTTTGGCACCCCTAGCAGATGGGAAGCTCCTTTAGGGAGCAGGGTACTGCTTCTTTGTCATTCTGTTCCCCACAGCAATTGCCCAATTCAGATACTCAGAAGATATTTTTCAACCAGTTTTCCTTCCTGACTCCTGGTTTGAATAACACAGAAGTGTATTTACAGGTGGTAGCTGTGTTGAGCCAGTCATGGTATCTTACCTTCTTGCTCGTCAGTGGGATACAAAGATGATTCAATATTGCCCCAATTTTCTATAAATTTGCCAGGTCGGGCACAGGGGCCCTCACCTGTAATCCCAGCATTTTAAGAGGCCAAAGCAAGAGGATTACTTGAGCCCAGAAGCCCAAGACCACCCTGGGCAGCATAGTGAGACCTCGTCTCTAGAAAAACATTTAAAAAGTTAACTGGGCATGGCGGTGCCTGCCTGAAGTCCCAGCTACTTGGGAGGCTAAGGTGGGAGGATTTCTTGAGCCCAGAAGTTCGATGCTGCAGTGAGCCATGATCACACCACTGCACTCCAGCCTGGGTGACACAGTGAGACCCTGTCTTAAAATAATAAATAAATAAATTTGCCTTGCAAAATGTTCAAGATGGCTGGACAGCACCCACAGGGTAAGCTCTTTGACACAGGAACGACATATACAACTAAAGATAAAAATAATGTGATACTTGATTGAGCATAATTTTATGGAGCAAAGAGATGCCAGAATGAGCGGAGAAAGCAACCAGGGAGAGGAGAGCCAAGTGGGTTTATTCTCTCCAAATTTTGAATAAAGTCATGGGGAAATCAAAGTAGTAGGAAGGGGTCCAAATGAAGTGTGCAAAGATGTAAGAGTATAATCATGAGAACCCAAGATAGCAAGATACGTGTATGTCTAAATACACCAGAACAGCAAAGAGCTTACTTTATTTAAAGTGACACAAATAAAATGGAAAAATATAGCGATGCTACTGGAGGCTGAGGGTGGGAGGAGACACTGGTATAAGCAGCTTTCTTGGTCCTTTGCTTTTGTCGATCAATTTTCCAGGATTACCTAAAATGCAGCCAGATTTATCCCAGTAAGAAAAAACTTACCCCCTTTCTGGATGCCCAGAGCACTTTGTTTCCACAGTACAAAGTGCTGACCACATGTGGCTTCAAATTTTGCTGTGGAAATCCCTTTACACCCCCTGAAAGCAGATTCAGGTGTGCTAGATGGTGTTTTCCAAAGATGAAAATGTCACAGTATCCCCCACTCATGTGCTTCCAGAACTTGGCCACAACCCATCAAGACGTAGAGTCTAATTCTGTTTCCTTGAGTCAAGGCAGGTTTGAGACTCACTCACAACCCATAGAAGGCAGTACAATGGGTGCTACCTAGCTTCTAGGTCATCAAAGATGGCTGAGCTTCTGTCTTGCTGGGGCATTTGATCTTGGAGCCCTGGGCTTCCATGTGAAGTCCGAGTACCCGAGGCAGCCATGCCGTGAGGGAGGCCACAGTGCCTGGGAAGGACCCGGATGGATGCTGCAGTCAGCAGACATCATCCTCCAGTGCTCCAGGCCAGGGCCAGACATGTGAGGAAAGGAGCCTTTAGATGATAATACACCCCAACTGCTGTATTACCCCCAGCGGTCAAGGCCCCAGCTATCATGCAGCAGAGACAAGCCACTCCTGCTGTCTAAATTCCAAACCCACCGGGCGCAGTGGCTCATGGCTGTAATCCCAGCACTTTGGGAGGCTGAGGTGGGCGGATCACGAGGTCAGGAGTTCAAGACCAGCCTGACCAATATGGTGAAACCCCATCTCTACTAAAAATACAAAAAAACTAGGCATGGTGGCATGTGCCTGTAATCTCAGCTACTCGAGAGGCTGAGACAGGAGAATTGCTTGAATCCAGGAGGCAGAGGTTGCAGTGAGCGGAGATCGTGTCACTGCACTCCAGCCTGGGTGACAGTGAGAAACCATCTTAAAAAATAAATAAATAAATAAATAAAATAAAATAAATTCCAAACCCACAGACTCTGAGAGCATAAATAAGGTGATCATTTTAAGCCACTAAATTAAGGGGTGACTTCTTATGCAGCAACAGTACCAGGGGAACCAGGTATGAGCAGTGCACATATGTTCACTGAAGTTATATTTGGGAAGTTTTCCTGGTTAAGAGCTCTAATTATAGCCATTATGTTAACAGAGAAACCAACACCTAGGAAAATTAGAGGGTAATCAGTGGCTTCTCCGGGGCTTCAGCTACAGTGATGGGTGAGAGGAACACGACAAGGATCAATTCTGAGAGTGCTGGCCGGGTGCAGGGGCTCAAACCTATAAGCCTTCATTTTTTCAGGTCGAGGTGGGTAGATCGCTTGAGTCCAGGAGTTCAAGACCAGCCTGGGCAACATGGCAAAATCCCATCTCTACAAAAAATACAAAAATTAACTGAGAGTGGTTGTGTTCACCTGTAGCCCCAGCTACTCAGGAGGCTGAGATGGGAGGATCACCTGAGCCTGGGGAGGCCAAGGCTGCAGTGAGCCATGATTGCGCCACTACACTGCAGCCTGGGTGACAGAGTGAGACCCTGTATCAAAAAAAAAAAGAAAAAAAGAAAAAAAAATAGAGGTTATTTTACTTGAAGCAAGAAAAAAATATTTTCTGGAAGGGAATCACTTCTCTAAAAAAGAAAAGTAGCAGAATGTTTGTGCCTAGAGACAAGTGAGAATAGGCACCCCTCACCTATGCCGTGTCCTCCAGGAGGAGCTGCCCACAGGCGAGGTGGG